GCCCATATATTCATCGTCTTTAATAACACAATGAGGCAGGGCCAAAGGAGCTACGGGGAGCCAGCGGAAAGTCTCCTTGACACAAGCATGGATGTATGGAAGACCCATGGCGTCCTTCAGACTTGGAAGATTGTCACCGAACGCATGATCGACCTCTTCCTGGCCTTTTAACTGTACCTCGGGATGGAGAATCATGGCTTGGATAAACGCAAGCACAGAAGAAGAAGTAGTATCAGCACCGGCTTCTTGGAGGACACCGCACGTGTACGCAGCTAGATCGTCCTCAACCCCCTCGAGTTCTTGTACTCTATTCATTTCGTCTGAGAAGCATGGCTATAATACGCCAATTAGCTGTTAAATTCAATTGAGTATCCAGCGATTGCTTACCTTAGTTTCACCTGCATTAATCGAACTTTTTGTCTTTCTCCAAAGGTCAACTAGAAACCTCCTCTCGTTCTCAAAATGCCGACGTGCATGCTTTCTGATAGGTAGGAGGAAGTCTGGGAGCTCCCTCAGCCAGGGAAAGGTGTCAAACAAAATACCCGCGAAGTGGGACAATTGTACAGCTTCATGAACGTTTGCGAAAACTTGCTTTATGTATTCATGGTCCGATCTATGCGTGCGAAATCCAAAGACCATCTGCGTAGCAAAAGAGCTTGTAAACCGCTGTACATGATTGATAAAGTTCACGGGTTGTTCGAGGAGGCCCACGAGCATCTGCTTGCTCTCAAGATCTTGATAGGGAATGTAGGTTTGTGACGCATTTATGTTCAGCACCATATGGGCAGTACGTCTTATCATGCGCCAAGGCTCTCCGTATTGCTGTTTTCTCATTAGCTGAAGTTCTTGTTAAGAAAACCTAGGTTTGGAACTCGAACCATAAGAGTCCAGCGAAGGCCTCCACTTGTAATGGTCTGGGGAATATGCATTTGAGGACGAGATGAATATATTGCGCTTCTCTTGTCTAGCAAGTCTTTCACCACCGTGTCCGAAGAGATCACAATCATGACCTGAGCGCCGAGAATGAGAGAGTATATGGGCCTTCCATAATGATTAATAACGTAATGGTCATACTTAAGAGGTTCTGATCGCAGTGATAAGACTTACCCATACTCACTCGCCCATTTCTGGAGCTGAACATGCACTTTGGTTTTCGGCATCTGGTGAAGGTTGCCGATAATTGGCAAAGTCGGGGGACCAGGGGGATATCTATGAGGCCTACGGCCTAAGTTTCTCAGTTTCACTGCTAACCAGCCGATAGTCATGACCCCAACTACCAACGTAATTGAAACAAGCGCCATCGTCAAAAGCTATTCGTTGACAATTAATGTAAATTAAATGATAATCTTGGAGCGGCAGCTATCGTTGTTGACATCGACAGATAATAAGTTAACTTTCTTCATTGTACTTTTGAATCTGTTATATGAGTACTATTAAATGTAATTCGCTCATATCTGACTCAGAGGAGGGCTCGGAGTTTCACCGCCTACTGAAGGCATACGATATCTGCACCGTTAGCTATGACATACATATAACATGCAGCACTTCAGGCAAATCAGCGACACCATGGACTTAATGTCGGTGCAGATAATATCCTCTAATTTCCGTTAATTCCGTCTACGTATCGACGACATAGGTTTCAGCTAGATTAATAACTATGTACAGGTTATCCTAATGTTACAGCTAGCAATATTGTTGTTGTAGAAGAGACAGAGCGATGACGTGGTGTCTCATATGGCGGGGTTGCCTCTAACACTATTCCTCATACCTCAAAAGGAGAACCACGAGACCCTCAAATGCAACCCAATCATTCGATAGCAACCGAAATTCACACTATCTCCGTATACATTCCCGGCATCTATGCATTGAGGGAAAGTAAGAGTTCGGCTGTATCATTGCTAGCATATTAGCTACCTGGCGTTGTCCTACACAATCCTCGGTGTTCCAGCTTGTGGCTGTCCCATACTAGTGTACCCCCTATCTAGTAAGAATTTCCTACGTGGGTACTCACGCTGGACAAGACTGTCGGATAGGGGAGCTTTTGATTAACTTATAAGACGGCAGCACTAAGTATACGAAGACAGGGTCAATCTTTCTAGGCCCCAACCGTAGCTCCGTTTCACTCGTGTCACCAATCCGGGGCCCTCTGGGATTGTGTTTAAGGAAGTAGCTATAAGTTAGGTTCCAAGAATTGCCCTAGCTTACAGTAGTAGGCGTTACATTCCGAGTAGGGTTGTGGTATAAGTGCTGAAATGCACTATATAGACGGATAGTTCTATCAGAGGAACTTTGAGGCTTAAATAGAGAGGTAGCGGAACCAGACCCCCCAATCTATGTTCTCTCTAAAGCATTCGAGCATCGCTAAGTTCCATCGATAGTATATGTTGGCGTCTCCAAGGTGCTCCTGGTCATTTATTTGTCCCGAATGTTTTGCCTAATTGCTTTTTCACTGCAAATCTCGCCTCCTTGGGGAATTTGCATCAAATCTGCACTGTTAGGTAGCATAAATCTTGAGCATATTACAGGATGGAAGTAGAGATAAGCATTTAGGTTAGATCATCATGTTCTCCATGTTACTGATGAAATCCAGCCCTAAGCCATCCTCTCGCACCTTTTCCCTGTCCTCCTTATTCTTCTTCCGCTTGGACGCTACATCCTTTCTATTCACTGGCTCGTAGCGACAGTTCGTCTCGACAACGCGGAGCTTGCGGCCACACTTGAGAGCTCTCTGATCATTTTCTTCCACGAATCTTGCTAGTTTATCTGCGCTATTGAAGCAGACAAGATAGCGGCCACACCGGCGACTTTGAGCCTCAGAATGGCTATTGGCGTGGGGTCCATCTTGGCCAATAGCCTCAATAGAATACTTCCTGAAATACTCTTCGAGCCTCAGCGGGCTGTAGATCTCAGGGCCAGGGCACTTTTCGTCCTGCATACAAAGAGCAGCTCTGTTTTGTTCTCAAGAGTCAGCGATTGCTCGTCAGAGGGGCCTGGAGATATATTGGCCATTTCAGAATGGTTGATATCTATTGCTATTAAAATGCACGTCTAGGGAATCATGGACTAAGGAGTAAAGAATCCTTGATGCTCACCTGAAGGGGTAATTTTCAATGATAAACCGTTTGCTCTTAAGCAAGCTTCCTTTTCGCATTTGTTTAAAACCATTGTATGTCTGTCGAGTTTGTGGCCGCTCCTCACGCATCTGATCTAGCCGTAATCTGAAGCCAGAAGTAGGTGTATGGGCGAGACAAGTGAAGAGGGCTAGAATACGGACAGCGTCGTTGCCTGCGCAATGTTTAAAAGATGTAGCTTGGTACCCTTTTTCAAACCCAAATCCTGCCATAGCGACAGACATTGAAGGTAGATGACCGTAATGGGTCGGGGTTCCGGCCAGTCGATCCACCTCCTCTATGATGGGTTGAATGTCGACCCATGCTGATATATACTGGACGACAGCGGGCATTCGACGGAAAAGTGAGTTGAACTCCACGTTCATAGCAAAACCAACGAAGGTGAGATGTTGGACATTGGAGGCTTCTCTGATATACTCCAAGAATTCGATCATCCTAGCTTCAGCTAAATCGATGTCAATTTCTTGTATCGTCGCTTCTTGGAGACGCCATTTGAAATGCTCTCTATGCCTTCTTCCTTCCTGCTGTCCTTGGGACCGGATCTTCAGACAACGAGAGGCAACATTGTGGCTCTCGGCGAAATATTTGATGTCGGCAGGTCTCTCGTGGCCTATAAAAGGTAAAAATGCTATGCCGATCTCGGTAATACGTCCACCTGGATGAGACTCAATATCGAGGGACACGAAAGCGGTCGTTGTCTCTAAGTGGCTCTTAAGCGCAGTAAAGTTGCTGATTCTTCTAGCCCATAGTGATCTATATTTTCTTGTACGTGCCCAATCCGGGGTTCTCGTGGACGGCTGCGGGATGCCAGCAGCTTGAGAATTCGGCGCTGTTGACGAGTCTGGCGGCATTGTCGCGACTGCGAAAACGAAAGGAAACTAATAGACAAAGGTGCAATATCGTCACTGTGGCAGGCTTGCGATGTTTAGGACGCTAAAGGAGATACAAGTGCTGTAACGCTAAAAGTGCCAGTGTGATTTATATAGCGGGAAGACATTACCTAGGTAAGTAGATATGCCTAGATACTTGAGGACTTCTGGGGGGAAACCTTGCCGAACGTGTCCACGTAGGTTAGGAAAAACCTCACCTAGGTAAGTTTCCCAGAAATTATAATACCTGGGTACCTTATGTAAGAAGCTAAAAGCTTCGAATTTCAGGCCCCCTGGTTGTATGCGTACCTAATGCACCATTTGCGCTACGTGTACCTCGATATTTAGGTACGCATAGCAACGACATATTAATACCTGCACTGCCCCCTCTCCCAATTATAAATTGTCAACGATCAAATATCTCAGTGCATCACTATGCTGCACAGGCAGGCATAGGACCTATTTGGTTCCCATACACGTGTTGTAGACATGCACTATTTATCAAACGTTATACATGTTGATTCTCCCTTTTCTACAGTGGCAGTATTATCAGTAATATGGAAGATCTTGGGACTGACTAACTACGCAGCCTGTTATCAATGTTTGCTATGTGTGGTATTCTAGTGCGAGAGAAGATATTACACGGACTGCGACTAATCATTACTCATGCCATGCTCTAAAGTAGGTATGTAACGTACTTCGTAGCCAATCCCTATTGCTACATACAAGTATGTAGTTACCAATGCCAGTCACTTGTAGCCTTCCACTTCACGTAATGTTTGTGCCTGACTAGTGACGTTATTCCAGGGGTGTCAAATCCATAATCGTAAACTGTATGTGGTGTTGGCATCTTGTAAAAGGCTGGAGTTTCCTGTACATCTCAATAAGACAAAGGACACGCAGACTAAAAAGATCGGGATCGCTAATGCATCACTGCAACATTACCAGGTAGCTATTGCCTACGGTAAAGTTATATACTATACTGATAAAAAGATCGTGATGCCAAGTGCAAGATTCGAACTCGCGCGGGTTGCCCCAGCAGAAGACCTCAACCCCTCCACTGGGTCTCTCGGTGGTCTGCTGCCTTAACCACTCGGCCGACTTGACGTAGGAGTGGACTGCTTCAGCTAGTTGATGTACCTGAGACGCAGGTAGTCATGTGGTGAGGAAGGAAGGAGTACAGGTCGGAGAGAGGAGTGCTGCATAAGGGAGGAAGGAGAGATGCGTGGCCTGAGCCTGAGGAAGGGGCGGATGAAGAGGGTGAAAGACTTCCATGACACTCAGCTACTAGCGTAAAGTACCAAGCCCCCTCCCCCCCTCAAATCTCAATCATAGGGAACTGTGGGTAGGTACTTCTGAAACTCTGGCCATAGGTCTCTGCTCGTGTACTTGGGAGCACATCTTCTACGCGCCCCAAAAAAGTCATTGTTGCTCTTCTAAGCTATGTCTTCGAAGGAAAGGCTGACACCTGACACTCGCTGAGCATCGATGACATGACTAGAACCACCGCGCCATTCATCTACTTGAGTTTTGTCCCAAAAGCAGACGGAGAAGTTGAAATCAGGCTTATTGCGGTCTAACCAGTTATTAGCATTGGGAGAACTAAAGTGACTCTCGCGAGGAAATCTGCACGTTATCCTCGACTAACTCGTAGAAATATTCTGCCTTGCAAGAAAGAACCAGAATTGTTGTGGAATTACGAGAAGTCTCAGTGCCACTGGCAACTAAACCACAACTCCTTGCTTTTTCGCTCACACAGTTTTTGGATTTATACACTCCTAAGAAATCATTAAAGGGGCAGAATAATTAACTTAGCTCGCCGTGACAAAGCTTAGAGGCCACCACTTGCTCTCCTATGCCACTCCTTTGCAATATCATAAGAAAGTAGCTTTTGATGAGTCAGCAGACCCTTTCATACTGACTGTTTGATATTGCATATAGCAATTCAGTATGTGATCTTCAGCAACACCCGTTCTGTAGTGTTGCATATAAGTGTGGAAGAGTTGGTATGGCAGCTTCCAGTACTAGACGTCTTGAGATTAGGATAGATATAGAAGCGAGTAGCTAGCTAATCGACCCAATGGGGCGGGACATCTGGTCCTAGAGCTTATTATACCATTTGGCGACTTATATAAAATCCTCTACGTGATTCCAGTGAAAAGAATTCAAAATGTGCTCAATCTGGTGACCTCTGCTAGTTTAGAACAAGATCAGGCTGAGACGAATGATGATGTTGTTAGATATTGTTCAGACTCTGTACACGAGGCGGGCAATAGACGCTTGTTGAGCGAAGGACTCTAGGGGCGCTATCTTCTCCTGTCGTTCCGCGCCCGCGAGCCCGCGCCTGGTGACAGATATAAGCGATGGCATGGATTTTGCTTACAAATTTAATCTTTTGATGCAGTGGTCGTTTCTGACAGATGCTATAATTCTTTCTAAACGTTTATTCCCGGTTCAGCCACGCGGTAGTTATCCGGGCCGACCTATGACGAATCTGATATCTTTATCATTACATACAAGGATTCCCCACACTACCCATGCACGCGCCAAGTATATGACATGCATCACTTCCTGAGCTTGGCGCATGATGCGCTCAGGTAAATTGAAGTGTTTCTAATCTACCCTCGGCGAAGCATTCACACCATACTTCCCATTTCATCAAAAGCGATGATGTCAGATGGTGCTCTGGCAGGGCCTTATCAGTGTGGGCAGGCTACCTGGTTCCGGAAAATCGCGACGATCCGGGTTTCGTATGCTATGCGGTGGCATATATACCTTACAGCCGTCGTGAAGACATCGCCAGACTAGGCAATAATAGATACGAGCTAAACCCGCCAGTATGGGTGCGTTAAATCCGTGGCGCCGGGTACGCGTTGCATGGGAAGAAAACAAGCATTTTTGAGGCATCCTACAAGCTCTTGGCACCAAGACCTTCCCGATTCGTCTGATGCCTGAGAGCTGTAAGTACATCAAGACTTGGCGAGGGTCGCCGGATTAGAATCAACTCAGTTGCCCAGCTAGAAGTGAGCAAGCTATTGTAACAAGCAAACTACGGCATGTATGATGACCTGGTGGTGTGCATGAGCAGCTGCTCACTAACCGTGACCAGTGACCAGAATGAGAGATACCTCAGCAGCATCTGCAGGCTTATACTCACTCACTTCCTCACATATCAATCCACATGCGTCATAATCATGAAAGCCGACACAGTCTCCCGCGATAGTCACATCGACGACGGGGACCAACAACTCATCTGCTCCAGACCCCCTTGTCGAGCTTGCGCGTTCCTTGAGCTGTCGCCACTAAAACGAGCCCCGTTTCGCATCAAAGCATTGCGCTAGCTCTGCTGAAGCAATGCCCCCACGCTGGGATGCGAAACGATCCTCTTTTTGTCTACATCACAGGAACAACATGCTTCATCAAAGAAAAACAGGTTTAACATCTTATGAGACGTCAAGCCCTGTGGACCGAGACAACCTCTGTCTTGCTACTTTCGCCGCGTCTATATCTTTATCATGGCCCCAAGAGCATTACTTGGGGCATTTCTCTTTTTCCTTCCCAATAAACTATCTCCATCCTCTGTTAGACAAAAGTTCCATTAGTAAATAGTACCCCATGCCCATCAGACCTACCGCTATCATGGATGGCCTTGCCAAGCTCCGAGTTGTTCGCAACCCTAACTACGAGCGTTCGGGCCTCAAGTCTTATGTCTCTTCGATGAGTAAATACGGCTTTGACTCGATTAAGGAAGGCCCATACTACCATATAAACCGTGTCACTCAGCGAGGTCTTGCTCGTCATGAGCATCATAAAAAAGGAGGACGCGTCCATAAGGACCACATTCTCGTTAAGAAGACTGGCACTACACAGACGGGTGAGGTGGGAGCCGATGACCAGCAAGGCGACACGGAGTAAGTGTTTTTCAGCTAGATGCTAAAAGTGTTCTAGTTCAACACCTAACGCATCACTGAAGGAAATATACACTGACTTTCAATACCTCAAAGATACCTCGTCCAGGTCTCTATCGGTACCCCGGCCCAGAACCTAATGCTAGATTTTGACACCGGATCTGCCGATCTCTGGGTAGGTCGCCTTGATTCTATTTTCCAGTTCGTCGTAGCTGACATCGCAACTTATAGGTATTCTCGACGAGTCTTAGCAGCTCTCTGCAAAAGAACCACAATGTATTCAATCCTACAAGCTCAAGCACATACAAGGCCCTATCTGGAGAGAACTGGAACATCTCGTACGGCGATGGCTCAACTGCCTCGGGCACCTGCGGCAGCGACACGTTGAACGTCGGCGGACTCAATGTCACAGGTCAGACAGTCGAGCTTGCCACTAAGCTGTCTACGCAGTTCGCGCAGGGCACGGGCGACGGTCTCCTTGGACTTGCCTTCAGCAGTATCAATACAGTAACCAAGAACGGGCAGTCGGATCCAGCTCCGACGCCGGTTGAGAACATGATCTCGCAGGGTGTGATCCCGGCGGACGCGTCGCTGTTCACGTCGGCCTTCTACAGCGAACGTGACAACGAAGACAGCTTCTACACATTCGGGTACGTAGACCAAAACCTTGTCAGCTCGTCCGGAGCCGACATTGTATACACGGACATCGACAACTCGGAGGGGTTCTGGATGTTCAACTCGGAGTCGTATGTCCTTAACGGCACCACATCGCAGCAGAGTGGCAACAAGGCCATCGCCGACACGGGCACCACGTTAGCTCTCGTATCCGACGAAGTCTGCGAGGCCCTATACAAGCAGATCCCGGGCGCTACGTACGACTCGACCCAGCAGGGCTACATCTTCCCCACGAGCGTTACCGTTGACGACCTACCCGATTTCTCCGTCGCCGTCGGCAACACCCAGTTCGTTATCCAGAAGGAGGCCCTCGCTTTCGCCCTCGCCGACGACAGCCACTGGTACGGTGGTGTCCAGAGCCGCGGCACCAACCCATTCGATATCCTTGGCGACGTCTTCCTGCGCAACATCTATGCCGTAAGTATACCTTACTCCCCTGTCACCTATCTTCGTTCTCCTCTGCTTCCGCCTAAATTCTCTTCCCTTTATCACTGACTAACCGGCGTGCGTGAAACAGATCTGGGATCTTGGAAACACCCGCTTCGGCGCTGTCCCCAAGATCCAGGCGACGCAGAACTTGACACCGCCTAGCGCTGATGCATCGGCTGCCAGCAACGATAAGAAGACTAGCATTTCTCTAGCCCGTATGTAGATTTGCAATTCGCATGTATAGAAGTATATATGTATGGTATGGCTTCATCTAATGAAGATCCGAATGCAATGAGGTTGGAAGAACTGGTAAGACACGCTTTACGGCCACGATGAGTCAGCAGAGGCTTTCACGTTCAGTATCACGCCAGATACACAATCAGTGTTAGGGATTTGTGTTATAGTCAGGGACGACAGTGAAATTTATGCTGGAGACGTACATAGAATAATGTTCTACCAACAGTATTTCCAGGAATTAATAAATGTATCCAAACATCCAGTGGAGCACTCATTTCTAATTGGATAAAACTTTCTCTAATCAATTTGAGAGAGCAATACCAATACGGATATTCATTAGACGTCATCAATGAGTGTTAAGGGATACCGAGCGAGTGGCGCCCTAAACAGCAAAGGAGACTCGACGAATTACAATTTGTCAAACCGACCTGACAGGACGAAATGAAACAGTTAGCCGCCATTTGGTGTGTAGTTGTACAGATTTTTGGCAACATGGGGATGTTTTAGACCGGTCTGAAGGGATTGCGCACAACAGGAATTAACAGTTGTTTAATTTTTATACCCAATGCACGTGTTGGTTTGAATTATCGACTGGTCATTAAGCATTTTTCACAATTTGATGTTGTAGCATGAATTTCTACCCTCCCTTACGTCTTCAACCCCTGGTCCATTCGGTTTGTACTATTTGTCCATGTGAAGGGAGAAAACAATAAAAAAAGCCCAATCTACGCGATCTACGCGCAGCATATTCCATTCCTTCACCTCCTGTTCATTTCTATTTGGCCATATATTGTTCACGATTTGCAGGCAAATCCGTTCGATCCTCATTATTATCAGCTGCTCCTAACGAATGCCTAC